AAAGTGTATTGATGTTAATAGAAAAAAAATATATTCCTAATTAAATTATGAAACTTGTAATTATTTAAGATAACTTTGCTTTAATAAAATGAATTCTCTATGTTTGATCAATGTGATGTTATTTGGATTTGTGTGCTTCAAAATATGTGTACAAGATTTCTTGTGTTAATGAATTTACTCGCACGCAAGGGTCGTAACCTGCGGCTCGCGTGTTGCATGCGGTTCTTTTGATGTCAACATGCGGATTTCTATAATAAGTATATTCCCCGGCAGGGGACGTGTCTGCCATTAGCCAGTCAGGCCTTAACACGGCTAACTTTGACTAACTGGCTTGAATATCGGTTTGATAACAGTGTATCGGTCGCTTCTGTCCTTTGGTTCTCATCAGGCTTATCTTCCACCCCACAGAGCCCAGGGTAAAATCGTACCCCACCGTCCTGTACCCGGCTCAACAGTAGGAAGCTAATAGCTTAAATGACAACTACGTCACTCAGGTCAAACTAATGATTACTTACTCATTTATTGCATTCTGAATAAAATAACATTTTTGTTTTATCTGTGTGATGTTCGGAAACATTTCCCAGCTAACCACTTCAAATATTTTATACAACACAACAGCTAACCACTTCAAATATTTTATACAACACAACAGCTAACCACTTCAAATATTTAATACAACACAACAGCTAACCACTTCAAATATTTTATACAACACAACAGCTAGCCGCTTCAAATATTTTATACAACACAACAGCTAACCACTTCAAATATTTTATACAACACAACAGCTAACCACTTCAAATATTTTCTACAACACAACAGCTAACCACTTCAAATATTGTATACAACACAACAGCTAACCACTTCAAATATTTTATACAACACAACAGCTAACCACTTCAAATATTTTCTACAACACAACAGCTAACCACTTCAAATATTTTATACAACACAACAGCTAACCACTTCAAATATTTTATATAACACAACAGCTAACCACTTCAAATATTTTATACAACACAACAGCTAACCACTTCAAATATTTAATACAACACAACAGCTAACCGCTTCAAATATTTTATACAACACAACAGCTAACCACTTCAAATATTTTATACAACACAAAAGCTAACCACTTCAAATATTTTATACAACACAACAGCTAACCACTTCAAATATTTTATACAACACAACAGCTAACCACTTCAAATATTTTATACAACACAACAGCTAACCACTTCAAATATTTTATACAACACAACAGCTAACCACTTCAAATATTTTATACAACACAACAGCTAACCACTTCAAATATTTTATACAACACAACAGCTAACCACTTCAAATATTTTATACAACACAACAGCTAACCACTTCAAATATTTTATACAACACAACAGCTAACCACTTCAAATATTTTATACAACACAACAGCTAACCACTTCAAATATGTTATACAACACAACAGCTAACCACTTCAAATATTTTATACAACACAACAGCTAACCACTTCAAATATTTTCTACAACACAACAGCTAACCACTTCAAATATTTTATACAACACAACAGCTAACCACTTCAAATATTTTATACAACACAACAGCTAACCACTTCAAATATTTTATACAACACAACAGCTAGGGATGGGGTGTGGTCGGAAGTGAGTAACATGTCGGTATCACTTAACAGTGAGTAAGCAAAGTTGAGCTATGTCCAGTTGTGTTATATAAATATTATTGATAGCATATTTTAATGACATCTCACTTAAGAAATAAAATAGTGAGAACGGCCGATAACGCTTAATTTTTTGCAATGCACAGCTTTTATTTAATACACAAGCACATTTCAAACTGACCGCATACTTAACAGATAGACACACCTCTGTGATAACTGAAAATAAAATTAAACTTTCACTTAGCCAACAATATGTGTTGTATATATGGCGTTGTCGTGATTTATTACTTTTGTTGCCTTATTGTTTTTACAAGCTTTTACTTAACTTGTTTCCCTTGTCTATCTGTCTTCCTCATGTATGTCATGTCCTATCATTGGAATTTTATTTTTACGTTACTAGATTTTGTAAAGTCACTCTTCGTTCTTTACATATTTTTGTGAATATAAATATATCTGTCATTGTTTATTTACATTTAACAATGGGCAGGTGGATTGTGAACTAAACACACGTTGTACTAAACTCACGCTATACTAAAATCACGAGATATACAATATTTGCGATGAACTAAATTCACGATATAATAAACTCACGATATATGACACTAACAATATACTAAACTTACGATACACTACATTTACTCTATAGTAAATTCACAGTCTACAAAATCACAATTTACTAAACATGAAAGTATGTTTTTCTACATGTTTTACCATGTCTCTCTGCAGACGTCCTTCATATCATGTACGATATTAGAAAAACATTGAATCCCCACCAAATGAATACTATCTAAAGAAAAAAAAACGAGTATTCGACGAATCGATCGAGACACCAGTGTTGCCTCTCTTTTATATATTTACCTCATTTTATTTCCTCTTATTTCAATTATTTTACTGTTGTTACAAACAAACAAGTAATCACATACCCGTGTTCCCACCTCTTGTCTTTTCATTACAAACTTTTGCAACCATCTTTGTAATCCAACTAGCAACATCACCAGGCAGGCACTAGATTGGAATCTCCAAGGTAATAGAAAATTAGGTAGGCCTATACAAGCTAGGAAAATATCAGTTGTCGATGAAGCAGAAGCAGTCGGTATATCAAGGACCCGACTTGGGAGAATCACCCACAACCGTTCATGATGGAGTAGTGTTGTTGCGTCCCTTTGTATGAATGATGATGATAATAATTAGATATTTCACGGGAATCCCAAGTACAAAACGTTTCAATTAGCTCAGGTAAATAAATTGTTTTTTTTTAGTATTCTAAATTGTATTTTTAGCTTCAAATATGTTTGTAGCTAATGTATCATTATACACTAGGGCGACAACTAACGACAAATCACATGTCTAGCACTAATTGTGTTTTTTTGACATACTTAGAATGCCCATGAACTAAACCTAAGAGACTTGTCTTACTTTAACATACGAACGTATTTTTTTAATTTTTAAAATGATCTAACCATAACACATGTGGTTTTTTATTGCCCCCCCCCCCCGAAGAGATGCCTGGAAGAAACTCTGTTAGCAATGTACATTATGTTAACTACACATATTGTACGTATATTTTCATATACAAAGTCGCGTGTTGACATCGGAGATTCAGTTTAAATTGTGATGTGTGTCAATTGATTCATCGTCCTTTAAACATTCGTGACGAATGATTCGTCTACTCGTTCGTAAACGTATACGTGAGGTAAACGCATACATTTTAATAAATTAAAAGATTTCTAACATGTATATACGTATACATAGTATGTAATAGACTAGGTAATATTTTATTATATGTTTATTTAATATGTTGCGATTACACGCCAAAATAAAAAGTTAATTTTTGAAAATAAATATTGTCTATTTTTAAACGTAAGTTTCCTCCATTTCTATATTTTAAATTACCAGGGGAAGTCACTCATCTATGTTTTTAAGTTCATTTAAATATCGAGTTTTATTTGTTTTACAAACATTTTTGGTATCAGAATTTTTTATAGACTTACTTGTATAATATAAAAAAAAATCTTTTTATGAAATATTATCTACAATATATATATTTTATGTAAAAATGGCCGTCGTCAAATACACCGCGAAGAAAGGCACCCAAGAGTTCGCTCTTGTGAAAATACTGATGGCACAGTAAGCATTACAGTTTTTACCCCTGGCTTGGAAAAAGGATCAACCAGACACAGTCCTAGAAATGGAGATGTTCATTTTTGGTGGATAAATAACCATGGATTTTGGCTGCAGGTTATAGTTAGAGATGATATGAATAATAAAGAAACCAGCTTTTTTCGCAAAGTGAGACAGTTCCCTTCAGAAATAAATATACAGAAATCTTACTGGAAGGTCAAGAATGGAGAAATAGCCATCAAAGTTACAAAGGCTGATAACTCCTGTTGGAGGCCATTGCTATGGAGTAAAGGATTGGATCAGTATACAAGTGATGAGGATGTTTGAAGATCTTGAAATTTAATATATTATCAGCTATATAAGACTATATGTGTGTGTGTGTGTGTGTGCATTTATGTGTGTATGTATATATATATATATATATATATATATATATATGTATATATCTGTTGTTGAATACTGTATATTCATGTACTTTATCTCAGGGATTTTTTATTCATTTTGAATAAAATTGTAAACATGAACTTCAAATGTTGGTAATAATACTATAGTAAAATACTTTACCACATTTCTGTTGGAAGGTTGAATAAATGAGTATGCTGTATGCAGTAGTTACAAATTTTTTAATAAACATACACATTTTTTAATTGTCACAAAATTGTCAAGTCTTCCAATTGTGAATTTCTTACAATGTATAGCAACAAGAATTTCTATTCATGTTTCTTTTATTAAATGTATGCCATTGTGCACTGTAGATAAAAGAAAAACATGCTTTATTTGCTGAGAGTGAGTACTATTTGTTTTGTTTAATTATCTTGGTGTAGAGATAAACGACAATTGATCCTTGCATTGCTGTGTATTTTTTAATGCTATTAATATTTTTGCTATTCTTAAAGTTTCAGTCAAATTTTTTTTTACATATTTTTACACTTTCCTTTACTTACTGTATTGTTCATGGATCTTGATAAATATAAATATAGAATAAAATTTGTAATTGAGAAAAAAAATAAAAAAAAAATTGACTGAAACTTTAAGAATAGCAAAAATATTAATAGCATTAAAAAAGGGTCGGCAACCTGCGGCTCGCGAGCCGCATGCGGCTCTTTTGCTGTCAAGATGCGGCTCTCTAGATCCTTGCACGAATATTAATAGTTATATTATTTTATTTTCAAAATTCGCAGCAAATATTTTACTGTAAAGAAACTCATGTGAGGATAGGTGTAGCAGAGATTATACGGACAGCTGACAGCTGCTTGGGCGCCAAGCCCAGCCCCACAGCCGTGCTGTAGGCAGCCCCGTGGGAACAATTCCATGCTTGCAACTGAAGTGGATTGCGATGGTCCTATAGTTATATTATTTTATTAAGTTCATTATTCTGACGAAACATGTGTATGTTTTTATATGAATAGATATAATTTGATATTTAAGGGTATTTATTTTAAATAATCAATACAATTAATTTACCTAATCCTATTCAAATACTAAATATTGAAATAAAAATGTTAGTGGCTCTTTAGAAACTGGGAAATTTTGAAAATTGTAACTTTTGGCTCTTCCGTCTCAAAAGGTTGCCGCCCCTGACCTACTATATTCTTCTGTATTATTCACAAGAAGCACGGCCAAAAACAGAGAAGCGATCATGTATCTTGTATTTTCCTGTACTTTATGTAATAGCAAACCGGAAACAAAATCAAGAAATCAAAAGAAACAAATGGAACCTAGAAATCGGAACAAAGAAATCAAAGAAACATGGAACAAAGAAATCAGAAGGGATATTAAGACATTGTAAATCTTGTTAATGTTATACTATGTATTACATTGTAATTTTTTAACATGCAACCTATCCACATGTGAAAGGAAGACTATTAAACGCCAGACGGCAAAAAAAAAAAAATATTGACTTCACCTACTGTATTCTTCTGATATCTATTTTGGTTTTCTGATGCTTTCAAAAATCTATAACGGGCAGCCAAATACATTTCTTGTATTTCTCCATCCGAACGCCTTCCTTGTATTCCCCTCACTTCAACAAGCCCCGTATTATATTTGATAGACCGTTGGGGTCAACCGTGTATGACGTCCACAAAGAGGAGGAGGATGGGGGGGGGGGAGGTCGAATCAATTAGACCTTTGTGGACGACTGAGAGCTGACGGACGAAGGGAGGGCGTTGGGTGCTTATGGTCATTCCTGCCGTCCACATGTTGGACCGCGGAAAAAAAAAACAACACACTGCGTTTCAAGTTAATTTTTAAACATACAAAACTAATGAAACATGGGTTTAAGAGGCAATTAGATCCAGGCCCTAGTAGATTGTGTAACCTAATCACAGAAAACTAAATCATTATTTTTAATCAAAGCCTAAGACGACGTAGACGTACCTGTTGTCGCCTGAGATTCTGTTTAAAATGTATTGTGTGTGTTGTATGTCGACTGCTTTTGTGTGATGTTTAATATTTTACTTGTTCGAAAAATGTATGAGGAAATGATAAAAAAACAGCATATTTGACATATATATTCTTATACATCTGTAACAGCATAGTTAATATGTGTTTACATATTTATTTAATACTCTGCAATTACACGCCAAAGTTGAAAATTTAAAAACATATATTGTCTTCTTTTAAAATTTGTATTTGCTGCTTCTATTTCTAAATTTTAAACTACCAAGGGAGGTCACACAACGAAGTACTTAAAAGTCTTGTAAATACCAATAATTTCTTTATGTATACAATTATTCCTTTATGTAACTATATATATATATATAAATTCGCGTTTATAAAGTGAATTCTTTATGTTTATTCAATTGGTATGTTTCATAATTCTTTACACATAAAATTTAAACAACAAAAAAAAAGAAAAAAAAAAAAAAAAAAATTAACATTTTTGTGTTTATCTAAATACTCGCACGCAGGGGACTGTTAGCTGCGGTTCGCGAGTTGCATGCGGTTCTATTAATGTCAATATGCGGCTCTCTAGTTTTATAATAATTATATTCTTTTGTTATAGAAACTAAAAAAAATTATACTAAAAAAACAAAAACTTTAAACACAATTAAAAAACAATGAGAATAGGTGGAGTAGAGTGTATATGGACAGTTGACAGCCTAGGACATAAGCCATTAGGCCCAATCCCACAACTATGCTGTGGCCAGACCCGTGGCAATGGTTCTAAGCTTTCCACTACCGAAGTGCACATACACATGTTAGTGGCTCTTTAAAGTCTGGGAAATTCTGTAGATTGTAACTGTTTGCTCTTCCGTCTCAAAAGGTTGCCGACCCCTGCTCGCACGAACCAAGCCAGCCTAACCATGCAACTAATTGCTAGACACAAACACACGTACACACCAGTGGCGGAACTAGAAAAAATGGGCCACCCCGCAAAAAATTTTTTTGGGCCCCCCATATATGTGTGTGTATATATATATATATAAATATAAATATAAATATAAATATATATATATATATATATATATATATATATATATATATATATATATATATATATATATATATATATATATAAACACACAATACGAACATAGGATACTCATTTCTGGCCTGATCGGGTTTTGAAAAAAAAATTCAATTAAATCTAATCACAACATGTCATGTGTATCAGTGGCGGAACTAGAAAAAAAGCCCCCCCCCCCCCCCCCCGCTTAAACTTTCGATTTGCACCTCCTCCCCCCCCCCCCTCAATCTTTCGATTTGCACCCCCTCTTACTTTATATATATATATATATATATATATATATATATATATATATATATATATATATATATATATATATATATATATATATATATATATATATATATATATATATATATATATATATATATATATATATATATATATATATATATATATATATACCGAGGGGTCTATGGGGGGGGGGGGTTATGACCCCCCCTAACCCCCCTGCCTACGCCACTGGCTAAATCACATATTTCCGTTAGGAGTCCCCACTCAAATATGTACAAATGTTAGGCCTATGACAGAAACCTTTGCGGGGTTGTACTCAACAGCTTCCCAAGTTTTCATGGCGATTGGGTGAATGATGCAGTAATGCATAATAATAATAGAGAGAAAAATGTTTTTCACATGTACAACTATATGTGGCCAGGTCACGCGTTGGATAACCTTCTGATTTAGGGGAGGGGGGGGGATTAACAAAAAGCCAGACCCTCACCTCAATGACTATTAATAATGTTCAATTAATTCTAAACGTTCTAATTAATTTCTAAATAATTATATAAAAAATAATCTTACCTGCCCTGTTTTGTGAATTAGATGTGCCTAATACTATGAAAGTAAATTAATATCTGTTGACTAGATCTAGTGCTGTCTAGTGTCTGACAAAATGTGCTGAAGTGGTGAATCGTACGGTTAAGAAGTAGTTCTTAAACGATACATTTATCTCCTCGATACTTGTGAGGTTGAGAAAGAGGGATGGGATAGGGGTCGGCTCGGGAAAAAAACTTGAAAGAGACAACAAAACGCCTTGATCTATGTACGTCAGCATCGCCCATTGGAAAACTTACTCAGGGGAGATAATTTGAAGTATAGGCCTTAAAAGTTTACTATATTTCGTGTAAAATCAAAAACAAGTAAACGTATATAAAACTGAAGTTTCTAGTATTATATTATTTTTTTTTAAATTATTTGTACGATACAAGATAGTACAGGATACAAATTCAACCACTATCACAAACACATATTAACATTGAAAAATGTACAATGGATTTCGGGTCCCCTACCAATGCCGCAATTAAGAACCGCGCATCATGAAAGCCCACTTCATATGTAGCGGCTTTTCGTGCTATGGACTTTGTTGTTTTTTTAAAAAGAATTTTGCCGGCGACAGCGTGTGTTTGATTGTAGGGAAATAGAACTCGGCCTTGACGATGGTTAAAAAATACAACTATAAATAACTGTTTTAAATATGTAAAAAAAAATGTCGACAATTTTTTAACCCCCTTTTTGGTCCCTATCCCCTGCCCCATCCGCCACAGTACACTTTGGAGGATCGGTCAAACAGTTACGTGTCCTCTTTTTAGCTATCAAAGGGAGGGGGGGGGGGCAACGAGTCAAAGAAGTCATTCAAAATTTGAAGAGTTGCCTATATTTTACACTGTAGTTTCTGTAATGGATTTTATCTTTTGCGGAAGAGCGTGGTATAGTGACTGTAAAATAAAGATAATCGTACCGCAGCTACAGTGTTTTTCTTTTACAAACCAAATATTAAGGCAAAAATTAAATTCAAAATTTAAAAAAAATATTAATTTTGGTCAGCCGTGGGCCCCTAAGCGGCCTGCCCCCCCCCCCCCCTTCCCGCGCATTGCGGGGTCTGGCGGGACTGTAGTTCCGCCCCTGTTCATCAGGTAAATGAATAACTACTGATTAGTGTCTTTAACAAAATGTGCAGAAGTGGTCAGTTTACAGTTTATATCATAGACGGTTCGTTAATCTATGCATTACATCTTATTGTAAGAGTAAGGGTGTGGTGAGGGGTAGAGGTGAGGGGTATGGGGCAGGGGGGGGGGAGAGAGTTGGGAAGGGAAGAGGACAAGAAAGCGCCGATAAACATCTACATCAATAGTGCCGACTTTTTCCGATCGTCTAGAAGACCAGGATAGTCACCTCGCCGCAACATTTCCCCAGCCCGATTTCAAAGCGTGCCGGCACAGTCAAATTTCAGATGCTTCGTCTTTGAAGTTGTCTATATGTCTGGCGGTCTCTCGAGCATTTTTCTCAAAGACGTTTGCCGACTATCGTGTTTGTTTGTAACTGTAGAAGAAAGATAACTCGATTTTTTTTTTTAAATAATTTAGCCAGGATTTTTGGGCCCCCAATTGGTCTGGGCCCCCCCGCATTGCGGGGTCTGGCGGCACTGTAGTTCCGCCCCTGGTACACACGAACATACATGCAGTATGTATAGTGTTTGATGCACAAAATTTCTTATAGCTATACATTGGGACAGTCAAGTTCCTTTTTCGAACTTAAATGTGCGAATGTAGTAGAGTCAACCTAAGTCTGAGACTTTGGTATATGAAGCACAGCACTATGTATAGCGGCTTTTACTTTCTATATCGTTGGTTACAGCACTATGTATAGCGGCTTTTACTTTCTCTATCGTTAGTTACAGCACTATGTGAAGCGGCTAAAACTTTCCTTTATACAACTTTTATTCGTGTATTTCCTCTCAGAAAAAATGTGTCCATTCAAGAACAAACTACAAAGCCGTAGCTGTTTGACGTTGAAGTTTTCTGTCCTAGATGAGTTTCTGTCTCCAGCTATCGAGACTCATCCAATTAAGGGTTTAACCTAGGGACTTGTCGGTGAAGCAGTCATGAGCATTACCATTCGATTACAATCAGTCTTATATTATTTAAAATATATATAAAAGCTGATGAAAGCCGTTTTGAATTAATTTATAAATTCAAATATTTTTAAAAACAACCCTCAACCCCTCGTTAAAGTCAACCGGAGTGGCCAGGGAAAGTAAAACAAAGAAAGTCACACTATTGTCTTACATGACAAGTGGAATTTCTTCCCGGCATCTCCATCACCCCCCCCCCCCCGAAGAAAGTCTTCAGCCCCCACCCCCCCCCCCCACCCCCCACCCGAACGAAATGGAATATAAAATATAGAAAATATATACTTTTAACAGTGTCCGCAGCCCGAAAACTTTAGTCCGCCCCCCGCCCGGTAATTTTAGGTGCACCCACCGGAGAAAAAAATTTGGAAAAACATTGGGCCTATCTTTAATTAGTTTGACTCTATTCTAAGTAAAATAAAGGAATTAATATTGTTGCATTATGGATTATATTGGTATTTTAAAATTTTGAAGCGAGGGCTAAAAACAAATAGCTTTTTTTTTTTTTTTTTTTTTTTGTAATCAATTGGAATCGTGTTCTTAACATTTTGTTTAGTTTGGTAACGTCTCTCTCCATCACTAACGAGATTTGTTTTATGCTTAAAACTATAACACATTTTTCTTGAAACAATGTATGTAAATGATAAGTAAACCGACCTTTTAAATATGTAGTTCGCACGTATCTTTCATTTATAATAGTGTATTTTTTTTTTAAATGTGCATTTTAAAATTACACAGTATATGTCACTGATTATAGCATACATTATAACACTCTCGATAGCACTAAATTAACATTTACATACATACTTTTAACATTTGAAAATTGACATTGCACATTGTGAACAAGCTTAAATAAGCATCGTTAAATACTGTTTTTTTGTTTTTAATCATCATCTGAAATTGCACGTTGTCATCGGATATTAAATTTAAAATGCACTGTGTCGACTGGTTCTTTGTCATTATTTTTTTAACTCATTTATGGATCCCCTGAAATCAGAAGTAAAAATAAACTTAAAGGCCCCGCCCCTCTTTATTGTGATTAGGTTAATAGAGATATATATCACAAAACAACTTCTTTTTTGTCAAATATATTTTTTTCATTAGCCATTACGTAAAATGGAAGCCTTATCATGTACCCTGGTAACACAGTAAGCTACTGGTTCAAAAAAGGATGAACTGTTTGAAAAACTTAACGCCTTGGACCTTTTGTGAAATATACCTAGTGTCCATAAATTTAGACGTAGACGATTTCTGATTTCAATTTATCAATCAGATCTGCTAATTGCTTTGTTAATTCATTTTTAAAATATATTATGAGTGTAACAATGTTTAAAATTAGGATTAATGTATAATGTGTTTTCCAATACTGATATTTAGAAAAATTATTAAAAGGTTTATTGTTTATAAACATATAATTTAAAGTAGAACTCTACTTTAAGTCAATCTTGTAGACTTTAAAAGGTGTTTTGCAAGTTTTAGAACATATTGCATTATTGAAAATAGAAAGTTTAGAAGTATATTTCTTTTCAGATTAGGTGATTTAGCAGTCAAGGGAAACAACTTAAAACTTCATATTAAAAAATGCATAAAACAGCAGTAGATTAAATTGTTCTAAAATAATAAATAAATAATGTATATACTATTAATTTTTTAAATTGCAGTTTATGTGTTAGTCAAAATATATTATTTTAAATTTGTAAATGTTTAACATTTTAAAGAATTTTTTTTTTTATGATAACCTTAGTAAAAAGAAGATAGTTTTCTTTTTATAATGAAAAAACTCTTAATCATTGTTACGTACATAACAATTACTTTTTAGTAAATTATTTGGTAAATTATTTTATGCAAAAAAAAATGTTGATAAAATAATGATTCCTTTTCAATTAGAGTGAACTACCACAACACCACAGGGGATGGGGTGTGGGAGGGGTTGAGGACAGTGTTTCTTCCAGACTTTTTCTCCGGGGGGGGGGGCACTTGAAATTTTCGGAGGGGGGGGGGGCGGTAGACTTTCTTCGGGGGGGCGGACACTGTTAAAAGTATATATTTTCTATATAAATTATATAAATTTCATTTCGTTCGGGGGGGGGGGGGGGGGGGCGGTAAAAAAATTTCGGGGGGGGGGGGGGGGGGGGGGCTTCGCCCACCCGAAGAGATGCCTGGAAGAAACTCTGGTTGAGGAGATTATGTCGGTATCACTAAATATTGAACTAGAGGAGTTGAACTATGTCCAGTTAAATGAATATTATCGATTGCACATTTTAATGACATCTCACTTAAAAAATAAAATAGTAAGAACGGCCGATAACGCTTAACTTTTTTAATTTGTTTAATTTCAAAACAATTAAAATGTAATATTTTGACTAATTAGATAGAAAATGGACAATAAAAACAAATGAGTTATTCTTTAGATACTTCCTTGAGCAACCATTTTGTTGTCTTTATGTACACAATGAAAGTACCTACAAGAAATAAAACTTAATAAATACACACACTCTAGCACACGCGCACTCATGCACACATATCTTAGAGCAGGGGTCTCCAAACTTTTCAGCCCGAGGGCCGCATTAGCTATCAAATATAAGTTCGGGGGCCAGCGTTTCTTACAGGCATCTCTTCGCGGAGGCGCAGCACCCCCCCCCCCCCGAAGAACGCCACCCTCGCCTCCAACGGAATATATATATATATATATATATATATATATATATATATATATATATATATATATATATATATATATATATATATATATATATATATATATATATATACATATATATACATTTCAAGTGCCCCCCCCCCCCACCCGAGAAAAAAGTCGGAAATCAAATATTGTCGGAGACCGACAACACACTCGAGGTCCAAGTTTGATCTCACATTTTTCGTCACGTAGACCTATTTCATTCTTGACAAAGTGTGTATGTTGTTCCGAAATTTGAAAGGTGCTTTGATGCAAAAGTTTTAATATAAGGAAATCTTCCTTGGGCAAATACTTATACAACCCACCCTCAGTTATTTCAACTTGTCTTTAATGAGGTCATTTGCTGGGCAACTGGTCAAATTTACTGTAATGGTATTTGCACTCAATGCTACATGTTCAGTTTGTTTTGAATTTTTTCTCAGCCACCTCCAAGAAACATTTATTTTTCGTGGACAAAAAGATCTCTGAGGGCCGGATGAGAGAACCTCGCGGGCCGCATCCGGCCCGCGGGCCGTAGTTTGGAGACCCCTGTCTTAGAGTAAGTTTTTATTCAGTGTATGATATTTTTATTTTGCATACATGCTGTTAAATCTTTTGTAAAGCATAGAGGGTTGTTCGCACCAGGAAAAACATGCAATTGTATGTTTATGATTTTAACACAACATTCCCAAACTTGTCGTACCAAAAAAAAATATTGAACATTAACTGCATTGCTTCAAGATTAACAAAATCTAGCTATTTTACCATGCAATTAGCTTACCTACACTATTTGAAGAGTAAAATCAACAGTTAAACACTTCAGTAATTAGTTAAAGTTAAAAAATTGAAAAAAAAAATCAAACAATTAGAGTTTTACATTAATACATTAAAACAAATACATACTCTTTAAATGCTCCACACTTTTCTAATTAATAGTTCTTATAGTGTAACTATCACTCTTTGCTTTACTATAGTCATGTTGTGCTAATATTAGAATGTACAGCATGTACGTATAGTATTAGCGTGAGTTGTACTACGGCAATGCTGTAACTGGATAGAGTTAAATGTTTTTTTTTATTAGTTACTTCCCATCTAAGTATTTTTAAATACATAATTGAACTAATATAGCAAAATTATATAAAACCGATACCCCAGATGTAGTAAAACAATTGTGTAAATCGGTGTTCATTTTATTTATTATTATTGTAACAAAATAATATTTAAAATGTAACACACTTTCTAGTGCTAATAGTTTTTTTACATCAAGCAAGTCTTTGATATCTAAGTAGTTGGCAGCCAAAATCAACTCAAACAAGGTGCCCAGGTCAACTTTAAGAAATTCTGCATCCCAGGAACAAACATCATCTGTTCTTTTTTCTTTGTTTTCATCATCTTCAGGTGGTGGAGGGTCATCCCGATGGAAGGTACACCATTGAATTACCTTCTTTAATATATCAGCATTAACATTAGGCAGTGGAACAGGTTCATCTTCATCCTCATCCATACCCAAATCTTCTAACATGGTTTTAACAGTGACAGATTGTTTAGCAGTCTCAACATTTATTTATTTTACAATTGATGTTATATTCAAAAGCAAAAGTGTAAATAAAGGGAGATTCAATGATAGAATGGTAATTTTTTTTTCTTTTTCAGAAAATGTCCCTACGTGTTTTTTTTTTTTTTTTTTTTTTTTTTTTTTTTTTTTTTTTTTTTTCCTCAGACATGTAATGTTCAGCGTCAGTTTGCCACGGCATGTTCGCTTTAGTATTTCAGTTTTTAACATCGGCTTGTGGGGACTGGTACAGATTAACAATCATTATTTTTCCTTCTGACTCTCCTTCATTTTAGATGGTTTACATAATACAAAACGCCTAATTACAATTTTGTTTTTAAAAGTGAAAATGCAAAATATTGTAACTAAATGGTGATTCAATGGATTGTTTTTATCGCCATTGTGGTTTTAGGGGGTTCGGGCTTTTAAGTATGGATGAAAGAAATTTGGGATAAAAAATAAATAAATAACGTAAATATTATAAGGAGCCGGAATAGTTTCAATACAATCAAACACTTCAAAGCAAACATTCTTCATTTTCAAACATATTTATAGCTGTTCTTCCACATGTTTTTAATCAATTTATTTTAATGTATTGATGATATACAAATACATAAATACGATTATTTTACTAGCCAACAACCTAGATGCTGCGATTTAAAAAAAAAAACTTTTTACTTTTAAAATGTGTTAAATGATTTCAATTTGTAAATTTTAAATTACCAAGGGAAACTACACAGCTAAGTATTTAAAAGTCCTTTAAAAATGTACATTTTATAGATTATACTCAAAGATACGTGCAAAAAATTGTAAATAATATTATTTTTAATATCGTTTATTAGATGTAATAATATTTTACAGTACAATAATTTTTATACTTTAAAACAAATAAAATTCTATCTTAAATAAAAAATTGAAAACTTGTAGTTTTAAAAGGTAAAATAAAATTTCTTTCAGATAAATTTAGATCTAACTGAGTTGGGCAAAGATCTCTTATGTCATTATAAGTGGATAATTAATCCACACACACTGAACTTTTGACTCCGCAGCACACTAAACTAAGCAGTGAAGAGAAACCTAGTTTGCACACCTTATTTTATTCTAGTTCTTATGCCATTTTATTTTTTCCCTTTGATTATTATATATGCAATTGATGTTCATTGTTCATGTCTTTGATGCTATGTAAAATCTATCAAATATATTATTATTACTGATTTAAATGTTTAAAACAATTGAATTAATAAAAATAAAAATAAATAAAAAATCTACCCCCTCCTCTCTCCCCCTCTATCCACTTTACCCCCAGACATGATAACCCGACAATCCCTTTAACTGTTCCAACGACCCCACCACCCACCGCAACATCAATATCCACAACTTATTTAAAGTTCTAAATCTTGTCTCTTTCCCCTCATCTTTCACACTGCAACCTTTTGAAAACTCAATGCGACCACTACAACACCCTTTCAACTAGTCAACTTAAGTTGTTTCCCTACATAGAAAATGCTTCACTGTCCCATTGACCCTCTCTGAAAAATTTCCTTTCCTCTCCCCACCCAGACTTCTGACACTTTCATTTGACCTTCACCCCTTTTACTGTCATCCTTTGCAATTTTTTTTTTTATAATCAAATACATAACATCTTGTAAATATTCATTATGTACATTTGCAAAACCTTTCGTTTTCATTTGGTGTTCAAAATTATGTTAAAAAATTTGATGTTGATGTACTTGTTTTAATTGCAAATAAAAGTATTAAAAAAAAAATAAAAAAAAAAAAAAAAAAACTAAAAAAAAAAAAAAAAAAAAAAACACACTATAAATAGCAGCACCTCAGCATTTAGATCACACAGCACAGATTTTGACGCCTGGTTTGCCTTAAACAGACACCCTCTCCACGCCTCGTCAGACACATCTAGCACCACCCTCTCCCCCTCTATCCACTTACCCTCAGACATGAAAACCCCACTTTCCCTCTTACTGTTCCAACGACCCCACTATCCAACCCAACATCAATTTCGAATATCCATTAATTTACTTATCTAAAGTTCTAAATCTTGCTTCTTTCCCCTCATCTTTCACACAGCAACCTTTGAAAACTCAATACGACCAGTATATAAATAAACACTCTTTCAACTCGTCAACATATTTTGTTTCCCTACATAGAAAATGCTTCACTGTCACTTTGACCCCCCCCCCCCCGTTTGAACAATTACCTTTCCACTCCCCACCTGGAGTCCTGACACTTTTTTTTGACCTTCACCCCTTTTACTGTTATCCCTTTCAATTTACATGACGTCATGTAAATATTTATTGTGTACATTCCTTTCGCTTTAATTTGATGTTCAAAATTACGAAAAGAAAAATTGATTTGATGTACCTCTTTTAATTGCAAATAAAAGTATTATATAAAAAAAAATATCACACGTAAGAAAATATTTTGGAAAATTATGTACAGATATAGACTAGATCTAGTCGCGTTATCCTAACAAAGGTTTTAGTTACTTTCTGCGCAAAGTGTCCAAGTTGATAGTTTTGCTTTTTCGATGTTCTGTTGTTTTTCCTTTTCATCTTGTATTTACTAATGTACACACTCTAATGACATCAATGCAAACAATTATGTATTGAATATTCTACTATGTAAGTATGTCAGCACATATATGTTTGATGTCAATTGTTTTTATTGCAAATAAAAAAAAATGATCTAAAATAGTTTCATTTCCTTTACATCAGATCAAAGTGTATAATCTAGCATAGGTCTAGAATATATGGAGCTTAATCAGTCGTAAAATGAGTTGTAAGTCTCAGTCTCTCTCGCTTAAAATTCATAATGGCGTTAACCAAGAATAAATATTAATTTCGAACTAAATTTAATTCTTGTGAACATGATTCCTATTGATACAAAAAACATGGCGGCTTTTTTTATTTTAGTCTTGGCTTCACGACTTTTAAAATATCAAGATTACCAAAAATGCAACAATTACAAATAAAATAATATAATCATACGATAATAAAAACTCAATTGAAGTACCGGTAGGCCTAAAATATCAATAACATTATTCTAATATTTTAACTACGCTTAAGATAACTTGTTCCAATTCATAATATAATGTATGCTTTAAAAAAAAAAAGCTTTTAAACGTAGGCTCTATTTTCATTTCAGTTAAGCTACATCGTGTAGTCTATTATCAGTATTGTTTACAGTTTTAATTAAATCAACAATAGCGAAAATAAATTAAACGATCTTTGTTTAATTTTACCGATTTAATAAAGATATTCAAATGTTTTTTGAAAAGTACGAGAACGAGAAGGTAAGGACCTACTACTTACGCTATTCTGACTCTAGTGTCATGGACTTTCAAGTTTAATCAACCAATCATTCCGTAACACCATCAATGTTTGGTGGTGCGTTTGTGTGTGTGTGGGGGGGGGGGATCATTAATGGATCAAACGAAATTATGTTCATATTTTGTTCTGTGATCTATTTTGATTTTTGATGCTGTTAAATTTTTGGAAATCGCCAGTCGAGTACATTCCTTGAAGTCCTCCATCCACATTCGTCAATGCCTTCCTCATATCCTCTCTTATATAACATGGTTTCTTTTAATAGACAGTTATACACAAATATATAACACTTTATTCCTGAAACAACGTATTTAACTGACAAAACACCATTTAAAGAGGTAGTTTAAATTATCCAACGTTTATAATAGGATAACATTTTTTTAAATGTGCAGTTTGAATTTACATAGCATATTTTTCTGAAAATAGCTTAGTTTATAATATTACAAAAATAAATGGCTAAAGACGAATCATGCATTTATGATGTATTACATGGCACCTTGCAAGTCTTTGTAATTTTTTAAACTAGATGATTTTTGGAAACAGTTTAATCTAAATTATAACGGGATTTTAGTTTAATTTAAATATTATAATCGTTTACTTACGTGAGTAATACCTTTTTTTTTAAACTAAGACGGCTTTTGCATACATACTTTTAACATTTGCAAATTGACATTGCACATTCTGAACAAGTTGAAATAAGCGTCGTTTATTTTGTTTTTAACGACCATTTGAAATAGGACATGCCCTACAATAGTTTACCATTCGTGTTGATATACATCCAATGTATTTGTCAAGGCGTTTATTTCTCATATCGGATGTGAGTGGTCTAGGGTTCAAATATCAGATATCAGATTGTGTGAATGATATTAAGAATAATATGAAAGTGATCATTCATTCGCGATTTTCTAGTGTAATTTCATCAAATAGCAGTTCACCTGTCTGCTCCAGTGATTTCTGATACTTAACCCTGGCAACTTGATCTTGTCACTACATATAAAAGTAATGTTTGACTACTTTTGTACTAATGCAGTATTAAAAAAGAATTAAATATTTTATTTACTTAATGTTTTTAATAAACTGATAAAAATACATATTTTTAATATGAATATAGCAAACTACTTATGGCATTCAGCATTATAATATGTTCTAAAAGTTTTAAATAATTATGCCATACATTATTACACGCATTTGCAAACCTAAAAGATTACCTTAAAGACAACTTCCATTTCAATTCGGATGCTTCTGAACACTATAACGTTCAATGTTTTAAATAGAGCAAAGTATTATACTTAGCCTCCTTTATTTCTTAACCTCGATTACAGTGTAATAACAAGCACCCGTCATATTCCTAGCCTGGGTTACCCAGCCGCCTTTATTTCCTAACGAGGGTTATATCACTATGTCCAGCTACCCATGGTTAGGTACCCATCAAAGCTGGATGGACTTAATTCTGACTCGAACTCGGATTCGAACTCGAGGCTAGTGCACTAACACATTCGGATAAAATAAAAATAGAATAGCAAAATAGACGAAACAATACGATATGATTAGGATAATCTATGGATTATGATAGTAATAGAATTTAAAGATGTGACGTGTTTTATTATTTCAACCACACCTCCATCTAGTTTATATCCCGAAGTAGATCTCAACTAACCACTT